GGGGGGGGGGGGGGGGCCAGGCGGCTCCTGCCTGCTCCCTCTAATAAACAGGCAGCAGCGCGGTGGGGTAGGGAGGAGGGGCACAGTTGGCTCAGTGGGAGCTGGTATGTGCAGGGAGCCAGCCTGAAAGCTGGCTTCCTGCACATACCAGTTCTGACTGACCTGTATTGGAGGCAGCAGTGCAGGGGGCAGGCAGCTCTATGGGAGCTGGTGCTCATGCCTGGCCCCCCTCCATACTGCTGCCTTCCCACCCTTCCCCAAAACAGAGGCAGCAGCAGGGGGGAGGGCTGCGTGTAACTGTGAAGGTTAACCATTGAGCCCAGGCACATCAGTTAACCGTGTACTTGAGTACACATTCACTTCCAGTCAGTAGACCATTGTTCACTTATTCTACCTGAATCCTTTATCTAAATCATTTTCAAAATGTTGACGGTAGGGATGGATTGGGAAGGCCTGCCCAAATGATCATGTCTAAGGCCCTCATAAATTCAGGGTCCATTTTTGGTCAATTCTATTGTCATAGGGTTGAAATAATGTAATTTATTTTTTTAGCTATTTAAATCTGAAATTTCACAGGTTTGTAATTATAGGTGTCCTGATCTAAAATGGAGTTATACAGGGTCTTGCAAACTTATTTGTAGGGAGGGTTGTGATACTGCTACCCTTACTTCTGTGCTGGTGGCGGGTCTGACTTTAGGGCTGAGCACCTGGCTAGCAGCTGCCGCTCTCCAGCAACCCCAGCTCTGAATGCAGCACCATTACTAGCAGCAGTGCGGAAGTAAGGATGGCACTGTATGGTATTGCTATCCTTACTTATGCACTGCTGCTGGAACATTGCTTTCAGAGCTTGGTGCCCAGCCAACAGTCACTCTTCTCCAGCCTCCCTGCTCTGAAGGCAGCACAGAAGTAAGAATGGCAAATACCATGCCCCACCCTGCAAAATAGTGTTGTGACTTCCTGTGACTACTCCCTTTTGGGTCACACCCCTCAGTTTGCAAAATGCTGGTCTCCCCCATGAAATCTATAAACTATTAGATAAAGGGCACACACAAGACCAGATTTCACAGGGGAAGACCAATTTTCATGATCTGTGACATTCTTTTTGTGGCCATGAATTTGGTAAGGCCCAAATCATCTCTCTCCAGACTTGCTCAGTTGAAACTCATTAAGATGAGAGGCAGGCTCAAATCAATCCTCTCAAACTTTTAGGGAACGTTCACAGTTCAAACCCAACTCTGAACTTCACAAATGGCCCCGTTTTGGAAGAGTTGAGCTGAACTGGAGAGACTTCTGCACTCCATCAAAGTTTGTTCTTGATTCTAATTTTGGAAGTTGAATTCTGTTTTGGAATCATTTCTATGAGACACAGCAAGGAAGGAAACGGGCATTTGGCAACGCTTGAGGAAAAACAGCAGCACTTGCTTGGGTGGCAACCTGTACAGGACTGGGGAACCTTATTTGAGTCGGGGGCTGCTGACCCACAGAGAAATCAGTCGGGGCGGAGGGGGGGCAAGCACAAGTGAAAAGCAAAAAAGAAAAATCAAACCCTCACTGACATGGCCCCTGACAGAGGGAGAAAGACACTCCTCACATTCCCCTCACACACCAGAGCCTAGCAGGGCCCACGCTAGTAGATTTGTGTGAAACAGCGGGGAGACTGGAGTGCCAGCATATGCTCCCCAATGCTGGGGGGAGTGAGCCCCAAGACTCAGGGGCTGGATCTAGGCGGTTCCGCACCCAGGGCTGACCCTCAATATTTTGGCATCTGAGGCAGAGAGCTCAAATGCCCCATGCCCCCTCGCTTGGGCCAAAACTTTGAAAGGTCTCAATTCTGCTTTCTTCCTGTTCTGCTCCTCTCATGGTACTGCTCTGCTACCTACAGATGCACCAACAGACAATTTTCTACACTCTGGGTCCTAGTGGCGCCCCTCCTCTTCCCCCCAGTCTGGCACCTGAGGGCGGCCACCGCAGTTTGCCTCATGGTAGGGCCAGCCCTGTCCCCACCCCTGCTGTACAGGAAAAGATCCTTTGGAATTGGGTATTTACAGAAAGAGTCTGGTGCCTTGGTATGTCTGGCACAGAGTGCTGTGTAATTGAGTTGGTCTGGAGCTTAAAACAAATCTATGCATGTAAAAGGAAAAGACAGTGTTGGGCTGCGTCTAGACTGGCATGATTTTGCGGAAATACTTTTAACGGAAATGTTTTTCCGTGAACAGTATTTCTGCAAAGATCATCTAGATTGGCATGGATGCTTAAGTGCTTTTGCGCAAAAGCATCCGTGCCCAATCTAGACGCGCTTTTGTGCAAGAAGGCTCCGATGGCTATTTTAGCCATCGGGCTTTCTTGCACAAAAAATGAAGGTGCCTGTCTACACTGGTCCTCTTGCGCAAGAAAACTTTGCGCAAAAGGGCCAGTGTAGACAGCAGAGGATTTGTTTTGCGCAAAAAAGCCCCGATTGCCATTTTTGCGATCGGGGCTTTTTTGCACAAAAGTGCGTCTAGATTGGCCACAGACGTTTTTCCGCAAAAAATGCTTTTGCGGAAAAGCCTCCGTGCCAATCTAGACGCTCTTTTCCGAAAATGCTTTTAACGGAAAACTTTTCTGTTAGAAGCATTTCCGGAAAATCATGCCAGTCTAGACGTAGCCTTTTGGTCACTTGGTATCTGAAAGCTGGCTGGACTAGAATGGGAAGGGAGCACTGATTTTTCAGGGTTTGTCTTCACTAGCTGCTGGATTGATGGACAATGATCCATCCAGTGGTGATGGATTTATAGTCATAAATTGAGCACTCCCCCATCGACTTCAGTACTCCACCAAAACACGTAGAGCTAGCAGCTATGCCAGGAGTTTGTCAGCTGTTGACTTGTGGCAACACGTTGCAGTAAGCAGACCGAGGTGTGTCAGCTTCAGTTACGTTATTCATGTAGCTGAAACCAAGTGATTTAGGTGAACAGTCCACGGTAGTGAAGGCAAAGACTCGGACTCAGAACTCCTTTCACTTCTACTGTAATTTCCAGAACCCTTTAGCCAGAGGCAGCTGCTGCTGTTTCTTAGACTTCTGTAAAGCATGGAGATGGGCTATCATGGCAGGAATAAAGCAGCAACAGAAGCACAGTGCACTATGCTGTTCTGATATGTCATGGCTGGCTACAAACTGCTTTCACATTAATGGATATGAACTCTGTCTTTAAACTATTAAACCACCACTGGAATTTTATTGTGAGGGCACTCGAAGCTGGTGCTTTATGCACACAGCATATCCCATCAATCCACTTACATAAACTAGGCTTGTGTACCTCAGAAATTGGTGCAATTATTACATCCCATCAATCCATTCACATGGCTTGTGTACCTCAGAAATTGGTGTAATTATTTATAAGATACTGATGCCCATGGAGCATTGGGTCACACATAAATGAACAGAGTCTTTTTTAAAACAAAACAAAACAAAACCTAGCAAAAAGCAGATCCGGGGAACTGTCTTGTGGTCCTCTGGAAGGCCAAATCAACCTAGTCTTCCCTGGGAACATTATCCTGCTGAGAACTGTCCCTGGCCCCCACTTAGCGCTTGTCCGACCCTGGAGGGCTGAGAAAGGGAGTGCTTACCTAAGCTTGTCTCAGTTGTAAGTAGCTCTCCGTCACCCTTAGGGAAAGGCATGGGGGAGGCCCTACATGCAGGAAATGACACAGAATGGAACGCAAACACAGAATGGAACGCAAAGCTGTTTTTTCCTCTCCAGCTGACAATGCTGGCTGGAGACAGGCAGGAAGCTGCTCAGGGCTGCCTGTATCACCTTTGTTCTAATTTGCTTGGTAAAGGTCTCTCTTTCCTCTCCTTAATGCCCCCTTTGTTGCTATTGCCTTGTGTACCCACAGGGAGGCCTTTCTGGTGTGGTTCTCCTTTAATCTCCTAAAGGATCCCTTGCTGGGCTTCTGATCAGTTCTGGAACAAGATGGAAACCTTTCAGATTTGCTTTCTCCTCCCCCCACATCTACTGACCTAAAACTACTGAACTTTGGCTCCTTCCTCATGCCCTGGAGTCCTGCCAGTTGGACTAGATTATACCAATCTGACAGAGCCCGTTTAGGAGATGTAACCTTTGGCTCTCTAGAGACAAGTGTTTATTTTAACTGTGTTTTTAAATAAGTGCTTGCCAGCAGGATCCCCCCTAGAACAGAGACTGGTCATTATCCTCTTGAGAGTGAAAGAGACTAAGTGTTTCACAACTGAGATACACTAGGCAACCTGTAACTAGCCTCTTTTTCTGCTCCCATTCTGTGCCTCCAGTTTCCTGCTGGTGCTCATTCACCCCTAATGGCCTTTCAGGTGTGGGAGTACCCTATAACCAGCCATATCCACTTTCAGAACACCCCAGTTTGAAGTTCATAGGAACTGGTTCATAGACTCCTTGAATCTGAGGACACGTGTGAGAGTGGTGGAATTTGTGGAACATGGTATGGAAAACATGGAGGAGTCTTGTGTGAGGTGGAAGCACCTTGGCAACTGCATGGGCAAATATGGCTGGCATTCTGCACTCTGCTAACCTCCTGTCCTGCCTAGATCATTATCACAGGGTTGGGACTCACCTCCTTGGCGCCTCCTGCTGGTTGCTCCAGGGAATTAGTCCTCTCTCAGTAGGACACATCCTTCTGACTGGTGTCTCCCACCATTCTCACTCCACGTTCCAGCTCTATACCAGTGTTGCTCCCAGGGCACTGTCCCCCAGCAGTGCCCACTGCAGTTGTCTCCTGTCCCCTTGGCAGGGATTTATTGACAGTCCTGTATCTCTGCTGCCTCTGCCACCATTGTGGCCTCCAAGCCTACACCCTCAGATAAGGGGCAAGCCACAGTCCTTTCAGGCCACACAACATCCAGCCACCATTGTTTTGTAAGGGAGAAGGGGGGGGACCTAACTCAGGAATCCTCTGACGACAGCAGCCTTAGTCGTCGTCGTCGTCGTCGTCGTCGTCGTCCTCCTCCCCCTGCCCTGCCCTGCCCCCTGTTCCCTGGACCTACACCTACTCTGGGTAGAACCTAACCAACTTCTCTGCTGGGCAGCTGCTTATATGCAGGGCTGCCCCAGCTATCCACACCCTGATTGGCTCATTGAAAACCTCTCCCTCATTGGCCAGGACTCTGCACAAGCTCCCTCCAGCCAGCATTAACCACTTCTGGCCAGTGTGGGGCAATGGTCCCACCACAGTCATGGAGAGAGAATTTGAGTTTATTGGTGTTATCCAGAGTCTGATAACATGAAGCTGTGAAATTACAGAGGAAAAAGGGATACTGTTATAGGATCCTGTCTGCTTGCATTAATCCGTAATTCCTAAAGATGTCCCATGCCCCATACCCTACATCTGGCTGTGGGTACCGCTAGAACAATAGCTCTTAAACTGTGGGCAGAACACACCTCCTGGTGACCTACAGAATGAAACACTTTGAGGGGAGTGGGATCGGGGGGTGGGGGGCTATTTCTAATGAAGGAATCCATCTAGAGAATGGACACATTGGAAAATCATGGCCCTCTGCATTTATTTTCACAGCTAGCAGCCACTGTCTGTATAAACAGAGAACTACTCCCTCCCACCTATAAGAGAAGAACCTACAGAGGGGGAGGAGGAAATACTGCATCTCATTGCAATGAGAGGAGGAGGTCCTGGGGAGTTTCCTTATTGCGGGTGGGGCTCCTAATAGCAATCAAATACCTTTGGAAATTTACTAAAGCAGGCCAACAGATCTAGATGGGGCAGAGAGAGGAAGGAAGATAGATAGATAGATACCTCCCACCTATAAGAGAAGAACCTACAGAGGGGGAGGAGGAAATACTGCATCTCATTGCAATGAGAGGAGGAGGTCCTGGGGAGTTTCCTTATTGCGGGTGGGGCTCCTAATAGCAATCAAATACCTTTGGAAATTTACTAAAGCAGGCCAACAGATCTAGATGGGGCAGAGAGAGGAAGGAAGATAGATAGATAGATAGATATCCATCCATCCAGAGGTAAGATAGGGTTGCCAGATGGTTTTAACAAAAATACTGAAACCCTCCCCCCCCCCAAAAAAAAAGAAAACACCGAGAAAAAAAAAAAGAGGGGGGGGGGGGGGGGTGTGAGATCAAAGTTGTCAAGAAAAAAAAAAGACTCCAAGAGTTATTAAGAATAAATAAATAAATAAAACAGCACGGTCCCTTTAATTGCATGCAGAGTCAGAATAGGAAGAGGAAGAGAAAGAGTTGAGCACTAAGACCCAGGGAAGGAATTGCTTCCCCTTGCTCAGGTTTATTGCCAGTGGCCATCTTGTGTTCTTGGTTGAGCCAGAAAGGAGCTTCCCTGTGGAACCAGGTAAGCACAGGGTTGCCAGACGGTCTCCCAAAAAATACCGAAGAACACGGGCTAAAAATGTGTTGAGCCACCAAGCTGGGAACAAAGGGGGAGGCAGCAGAGCCTGCTCTGCAAAGCAGCCTCCTGCTACGTAAAGCAGAGAGAGGCAGACCCCAGGGCAACACGATAGCAGGGCAGGTGGGAGGGGGCAACCATGGGTAGGAAGGTGACTCCCCCATACCCAGGTCTTTGGGTGTCCCAGTGGGAAGAGGAAGAAATTCCACCCCCGTCAGTTTTGGCTGAGAGCCCATGAAAGGCACCTAAACGCTTCTCTCCTGGACTACGACATCACAACGCACTTGAACAGCGCTCAGGAGCAGGGACAGGGCTTCTCTTCCTCCCCAAGGCTTCACTTCTCCTTGGATGCAATCAGCTGAAGGTGCCCAGTGCCGATTGTGCCTCACCTCCCAGCCACTCCTCCCGCCCCCGCTTAGCTTCTGCACGCAACCAGAGGCTCCCAGAGCCGATTGTGGCCCTGCCTCCCACCCTGGGACTCCCTCTGGTTGTAAGCAGAAGCCTGGCGAGGGGAGTGGCTGGGAGTCCCAGCCATTCACCCTGCTCCCGCCAGGCTTTTGCATGCTACCACAGGCTCCCAGCGCTGATCACGGCCCCGCCTCCCAGCCACTCCCCTCACCCCCACCAGGATTCCATCCGGCTGAGTGTGTCATAGGGTTGCCAGGTGTCTGGTATTTTTGCCTCCTGGCTGAGAAAAAAAATCAGAACAGACCGGACATTTTAGGTGTTCGGTATTTTCTGAATTTTTTACCGGACAGGAGGCGAAAATACTGGACTGTCCAGGTCAATACCGGACACCTGGCAACCCTAAGATTAGATGCCACATGGAATTGGATATGTGTCCTTTCTGACATTATGTGTGGAGGCCTGGAGATAAGCTCATGTGTTTTGTTTGAATTTCAGATCAGTCAGGTCTTGGGCAACGAAATAAAGTTTGCTGTACGGGAACCCTTGGGGCTCAGGTAAGTTTCCATGGAGAATCTGAGCACTCAGGCTGTTTAGTTGGGATGAGGTTGATGAGATGAAAGGAGATCTTGGGTTTAAATATTTACATGGGCTGCTTCCTTCTCCTGTCTCTTTGCTTCCTCCTTAGCCTGGCTCCTGTCAACACAATGTTCAGGGGGTGGCCACTTTTTGTAACAGGCCACACGTGCTGATGGGCTGAGCCCGGGGCTGTACAGGCACTGCCAAGATGGCCCTGAAAGGTGAGGGTCTCAGGTGGACAGGTGCTTCACCCATGATATATGTGTGTGGGCACAGTAAGGGGTGTTCTGGCTGATATCCCCTTTGCAATGGGAGGTTTATGTCTCCTGTTTGGGCAGGCAGAGTATAACACTTCTCGGCTATGTCTACACTAGCATGATTTTCCGGAAATGCTTTTAACTGAAAAGTTTTCCGTTAAAAGCATTTTCGGAAAAGCGTGTCTAGATTGGCAAGACGCTTTTCCGCAAAAGTACTTTTTGCGGAAAAGCGTCCGTGGCCAATCTAGACGTGCTTTTCCGCAAAAAAGCCCCGATCACCATTTTCGCAATCAGGGCTTTTTTGCGGAAAACAAATCTCTGCTGTCTACACTGGCCCTTTTGCGCAAAAGTTTTTTGGAAAAAGACTTTTGCCCAAACGTGAGCAGTATAGTATTTCTGTAAAAGCACTGACAATCTTACATGAGATCGTCAGTGCTTTTGTGGAAATTCAAGCGGCCAGTGTAGACAGCTGGCAAGTTTTTCCGCAAAAGCAGATGATTTTGCAGAAAAACTTGCCAGTCTAGACACAGCCCTGCAGTATGCATCACAGATTTCTCCACGTGTGAGGAGCAGTGACAGCTTTACCTCTTTGATGGGCTTGCCCCAGTTGTACATTATATGGCGGTAGAAAGGTATCACTCAGATGTGCAGGAGGGTCCAGATCCTCCAAGGTACTTAGGAAGTTAGATGCCTACATTCCTTTGAGGGTCTGGGCCTAGGTATCACTCACATAATGAGAAGGGATGTTGAGTGGGGGCTCATACTCTTGTATAGTGTCTAGGAGGGTCTCCCCTGTGTTCTGAAACCGAGCCTTTGACATGAAACATCATCTGGGATCTTATGCTAGGTCTCAGCTTCAGTGGCGCTCTCTGAGCTCAGAATGTGGCTAGAGTATCTTGTATTTAAAAGGGGGTAAACTCTGCCTTTTTGAGCTATTGCTGAGGCAGTGCTCGGAGAGTGACTCGCGTGGGGTGAGAAACTTGCATGGCTGGCTGTGGACCTGGAAATTAATGCTACAAGATAGAGTTACAGACTCCCAGGGAGTCCCAGGTATGGACTGGATGAACAGGAAGTCGAATTCATCTGTCCCAAGATGCACTGGGGCCTCTGCTGAACATGGATTGGTTATGAGGGGGAAGGGTTTTAGCTGTAGAAACTTTCAGGCAGCTGTGAGGAAGTTTTTTTTCTTCAAGGACACATTAGATAAGGGATTACAAGGACTGGGAAGGTGATGCAGCCTCTTGGCTACTGATAGAAGTGCAGAGTCTTGTAGGAAAGGTTTGCAAAATGTGTCAGGGTTTGAGTCTGAAGTGATTAACGAGAAATAGTGGGGCTGCATAAGCTAATGAATTTGGGGGTAAGTTGGGGTGTGACGGGGGTTCTGAGCTGGCCCTATAGCTGACCTGGGAATGCTCTGTTGTGTGGTTGTAAAGAGAGCATCTAAATGTACAATACCCCAGTCCATCAGCCTACCTTCTGATGCCCAAGGGAAACCAGTACTTGCTCCATTGATTTCAGTGGTGCATAATCAGGTCCCAAATGCCCAGCTGACCTGTAGAGGGTAAAGGCTTCCTGGGTCAGATGTCCCAAACTGATTGTGTTACAGCTAGCCAGGAAATCCCTTTATAGTTCTCCATATTGTGTATTGGCTCCTTCTAATCAAAGACAGTCTCTCCAGCAACAAAAAGAAAGGATCACTGACTGAATTGCCTTCACTCTGATATCCCGGATGGGGGCTGCTTCTGAGATACCCGTGGGGGCTGCGTACTTGGGCAGATGGAAGAATAAGGGTGTGGTGAATCTCTGTGCCTCTGATCTGTGTTTCTTCCCATGCAGGGTCTGGCAGTTCGTCTCTGCCATCATATTCTCTGGGGTTGCCATTATGGTAAGTGGGAGAAGCATTCCCAGGAAGAGCCCAACCCTGGGCTGCCAAAGAGGAGTTGTGACACTTCAGTCTGCTTGGCCCTATCCATTACTCTGTCATCACCACCCACCAGCAGCTGCTGCCACTTTTCTCTTCCTGTCCTGTCATGGAGTGTCTCTCTCTAATGAGTTTTAACAGCAGCTTCCTTGACAGGTTGTTCCTGACACCAGAGACCCTCCCTCTAGTAGCTGTTTCATAAAACCTCAGTTGGCAGCAGGGGCCTCAGTCACAGAGGAGATCCTGGAGGCTATTCCTCTCATTGCCCCTCCCCTCATAAGTGACCCAAAACCCATGTAGCACCCGGTTGTACAACATATTCTTCCCAATCCAAGGGGAGCTGCTGCTCTGCTACTTTCATTGCCTTCAAATGACTTGATCTTATGTGGATTCCTCCAGTCTCCTTTCTCCTTTTAGGCTCTCACTTTCCCGGATCAGCTCTATGATGCCATCTTTGAAGAAGAATCAGTCAACAGCAAGACTCCCATTAGGCTGTACGGAGGAGCCCTCTTGAGTAAGTAATGTTGAGACTGAGCTCAGAGAATCACAGTCTGTGGATCTACCAAGGAAGATGCAGACAGACTGAAAAAAACATGATTTGAAGTTTTAAAAAATCTCATGATGATTTGTGGGGCCAACTTCATGCTTTTTGGGGGTCCAACTCATGATTTTTTATCTCTTGAGGTTGGCAGCACTGGAAAATTGACACATAGTGCAAAGAGGCTTGAAAGTGGGGATGTGGGCAGAAAGGAGGAGAGCGGAGGCAAGGCGATATTGTGAGGATGATGGTACTCTGTGAAGGGATCTCCTCTCATGGCACTGGAGAGGCGTGACAGTATTTGTTTGACAGAGAGAGGGCCAGGGAGGTATATGAGGGTATGTCTACACTACCCTCCTAGTTCGAACTAGGAGGGTAGTGTAGACATACCCTGAGTGAAGAATCCTAATGGTGAGGAAGAAGGAGAATTCTGCCCCAGACATAATCTCAGACCTGGGCAGGACAGAGCCAGGCAATGCCAGGGTAACTGGCTCTGCATGAAGTAGTTTTGCGAGAGGTCCATCTCCAAGCTGCCAGAAATGGAATACTAGGCTGGAGGGCCCATTGGCCTGATGCAGAACTTCAGGGAAATGGGGATATTGGGCTAGGCAAGGCACCGGCCTTTTCCAGTGGGGACACTTCCCTTGTCCCTCTGAGACTGGAATCTTTGGGGAAAGCAGGGCTGCCTCCCCGGCTCCTTGCTCTGTAACCTCCAACCTTAGCAAACATGGAAAGAATGTGGACATGTGTGTGTGTGTGGGGGGGGGGTGGTGGTTGGCAGTGAAGCTGGAGGAACTGAAGCAGGGAGGTTTGGGGGAAAATGTAGAGCTGGCAGCTCTCTTGGGAATGACAATGAGTAAATTGGTTTTACTTAATTTCAGACTCCCAGAGTGGCAAGTGCAGTGGGGTGTGGAGAGGCCTGCCCTGCTGCCTTTCACTAGCCCTACACTTACATACTGTGCTCAGATCACTCTTTGAATCTGTGATGCTGAGGGTCATGGACAGATGGTTATAGGAAGGGGATTGCTTATGACCGTGGGTCCCAATGCAAGATCTTTTCGTACAAGGGGCCATGTCTAGTGGGTAGCAGAATCAGGGGTTCCAGTGCATATGAAAACCTGGTTTTGGCTTATCGGCTGCCCATCTTCTCTTCCTAGTTTGTAGCAACACCTGGTGGTGCAGAATGGAAGCACAGAATACACAGCCGGCTCTT